TAAAGGGGCATTTGGGTTGCCTGCAAGTAGTCTTTTGAGAATAATGCTGCAATGTACATAAATGTGCAAAAGTCTATTCCATGTTCTATGTTTTTCTGTGAACATGTTTGAGATATTTTGGATACACTGATTTAGTACCACCTGTACATTCTTGCTTTTGTTGCCTAATCCTTTGATGTTATATCCAAGAAATCATTGCAAGGACCAACTGTCATGAAGCTTCCTCTTTGTATATTCTTCTAGGAGTTTAATAGTTATATGTCTTACATTTAAGTCTTGGTCTATATTTTTAATTGACACATGGTAATTGTGCATATTTAGGGGATAGGATTTGATGTTTCACATATATATTGAATAATGATGAAATAATGATATTTAGTGTATCCATTACCTCATGTGTTTGTTAGTTCTTTGTGGTGAGAACATCCACAAGCCACTCTTCTAGCTATTTTGTAATATACAATACCTTACTATTAACAATTGTTACCTTACTATGCAATAGAAAACCAAAACATGTTCCTGTCTAATTGTAATTTTGTACCTGTTAACCAACCTCATCTTATCCTCCCCTTCCCTCAGTCTCTGATAACCATTGTTCTACTCTCTGCTTCTATGATATCAACTTTTTTTTTTTTTTTTTTTTTAGATTCCATGCATGAGTACAATCATGCAGTGTTTGTCATTTTGTATCTGGCTTATTTCACGTAACATGGTGTCCTTAAGATCCATCCATGTTTGTGTGTCAGTACCATGCTGTTTTGGTTGCTGTAGCTTTCTAGTAAATTTGTAAAGCCAGGTACTGTGATGCCTCTAGTTTTTTTTTCTTTTTGCTCAGGATTCTTTGTCCATTTGGGGTCTTTTCTAGTTTCATATAAATTTTTACGGTTTTTTTTTAAGTTTCTGTGAAGAATGTCGTTTTTATTTTGATAGAAATTGCAATGAATCTGTACATCACTATGGCCATTTAAAGATTATTTTTCCAATTGTTAAATACAAGATAACTTTCCATTTATTCACATGTATTTCAATTTCTTCATCCATGTTTTATAGTTTTCAGTGTAGATATCTTTCACCATTTCAATTAAGTTTATTGCTGGGTATCTTAATTTTTTTACCACTATTGTAGATGCAGAAAAAGCATTTGACAATATTCCTTTATGATTAAAACACTCAACAAAATAGTTATAGAAGGTATATGTTTGTCAACATAATAAAGGCCATATATGACAAAGCAATGTTAACATAGTGAACAGGGAAATACTGAAAGCTTTTTCTTTGAGTTTTGGAACAAGAAACGATACCTGTTGTCACCACTTTTATTCAACATAGTACCGTAAGTCATCATAAGAGCAATTAGAAAGAGAAAGAATTAAAGTCATTCAAATTGGAAAGTAGGGAGTCAAATCGTCCCTGTTTGCAGACAAGGTGATCTTCTATAAAAAAACCCTAAAGACTACACCACACACACACACACATACACACACACAAACACACACATACAAAAAGTGTTGGAACTATTTAAAAAATCAGTAGAGTTACAGAATACAAAGTCACTATAAAAATTACTAGCATTTCTGTACCGACAGTCTACTGAAAAAGAAATTTTAAAATTCCATTTAGAATACCTATTAAAAAAAATGTCAGTCCATTTTGAGTTCAAGTTTGTATATAGTGCCAAGTAAAGCCCAGCTTCAAATGGTGCCATTGGATTTCCAATATTCCCAACTTTATTTGTTGAAGAGACTGTACTTTCCTCATTGTGATGTTCTAGAATCCATGTTGAAGATAAGTTAACTATATATGTGAGAGTTTATTTCTGGGCTTTCTAATCTGTTTCATCATTTTTTTTTTCTGCCTTTATGCCAGTACAACACTGTTTTGAATACTTAACTCTGTAATATATTTTGAAATCAGAAAATATGATTGGTCTAACATTGTTTGTCTGTTTCAATATTTGTTTTGTTTTATGTTTTGAGATTCTGTAGGAATTTTAAAATATTTTAACACTTATGCAAAAATTACATTTGTATTTTGATAGCGATTTCATCAAATCTCTATCACTTTGGGTAATATTGACATATTAACAATATTAAGTCTCTTAACTCTTGAACAAGAGTATTTTCAGTAGTTTTTTAAAAATATTTACATCATTGTAAACATGTCACATTTCTTTTGACTTTTACTTCTAATTTTATTCTATTGTAGTCACAAATAATAGTTTGTGTGGATTTTTTTATTTGCTTAAATTTGTTGAGATTCATTTTGTGTCTTAACAGGTTGTCTATCTGGCATAATGTGCTATATGTGCTTCAGAATAGTGTGTATTCTGCCCTTTGTGGGTGGAGAATAATGTGTATTCTGCCCTTTGTGGGTGGAGAGTTCAGTATATGACTTTTAGGGGTGTACATGAGCTATGGTGTTGTTTAAATCTTCTGTTTCCTTTTTGTTCTTTTGTCTGTTTCTTTCTTTTCAATATTGAATGTGGGGTATCAAATTCTCCTACTATTATTGTGCTGCTGTCTGCTCATACTTCAGTTCTGTAAAAGGTTGCTTCATAGATTTGGGATCTATGGTGGTAAGTACATATGTATTAATACTTGTGATAGCTTACTGATTAATGGACTCTTTTATTATTATATAATGCCATTCATTGTCCTTTGTGACAATTTTTGGCGTAACATGTATTTTGTCAATGTGAGATTATTTGACATTGAATTCAATAATTTTTTTTTTCTATTTTACTTTTAGCCCATGTGTGTCCTTACATCTAAAGTGTCTTTTGTATAAAGCATAGAGTTAGATCTTATTTCTTAAGTTCATTCAGATAAAATGTTTTTGGATTGATTTAATTTATTTCCATAGAAAATAATTACTGAAAGGGAATGACTCGTTGCATTTTATTTATATGTGTAGGTCTTATAGCTACTTTGTTCTTGTTTTCTTTTACTATTTTCCTTTGTATTTTGTTGGTTTTTTTAGTTACATGCTTTGATTTTTTTCTCATTTCCTTCTGTGTATCTAGTATATTTTTATTAATTTTTTTTTTAAACCCCAGGAGCATTGGGATGTATATCTACTATAGATAATTTCTTTGTGGTCACCATAGATATCGCATAAAACATCTGAAAATTATAACAAACTATTTTAAGCTGAAAACTTTAATTTCATACAAAGCCTCTGTTTTTTTACATTCCCAATTGTATTCTATTGATGTCACAAATTACATATTTTGGTATTGTGTATTCATTAACGTAAATTTATGGTTAATTTAAGGGTTTGCCTTTTCAGATCTCTAGCAGAATTGAACATATTTTATGCATCATCATTATGATAACACACAATACTAAATGTATGGATATAATTACCTTCACCATAAAACTTTATATATTCATATAATTGTGTGGCTCATATTTTACCTTTCAATATGAAGAACTGACTCCATTTAGCATTTCATGTAAGGTATGTCTTTTGGATATGAATTTATTAAGCTTTTTGTTTGATCTTAGAAATTTTTTATTTTTAACTAATTTTTAAAGACAGTTTTGCCAGAAATAGTGTTCTTGGTTGGTAGTTGCCATTTTATCAGTATTTTAAATATATTGTCCTACATCTTCCTGGCCTGCAAGGTTTTTTGCTAAAAAAAAATCTGTCGATCATCCTATAGGAGTGCCCTGGTACGTGACATGTAACATTTTTCTTGCTGATTTCAAGATTCTCTTGGTTTATGACTTTTTAATCTTTGATTATGATGTGTCTTGTTTTGAGTATGTTTGTGTTGTTCCTAGAGTAGGTTAATCTTCTTTAAATTTTGTGCCATTTTCTCTCTGAAATTTAGAAAGTTCTCGGGTATTACTTCTTCATTTAAGTTCCCTGCCCATTTTTCTCTCTTCTCTCATTGTAGGACTCCTGTTATGACTATTTTGGCATGCTTGATGGTAATAAGTCCCTTAGGCTCTCTTTACTTTTCTTTATTTGTTTCTTTGTTTTGCTCTCTTGACTAAAATTTCAAATGACCTATTATCAAGCTTGCTGATTATTTCTTCTGCTAAATTAAGTCTGCTATCAACCTATCTAGTGAATCTTTAAATTTAGTTATTTTATTTTTCAGGTCCATGCTTTATAATTGTGGGTTTTTTTAGTTTTAATCTCTTTAAATCTCATTTTCTTTATGTATTTTTTCCTCCTTTATTTAGTTGTTTGTGTTCATTTATCTGATAGAGCATCTTTAAAGTAGATATTTTCAATCCTTTTAAAATTACTTTATAGATTTTCAGTTCTTTAGGGTCATTTGAATGTTTATTTTTATACTTTCATTGGACTATATTACTTGGTTTCTTTGATGTCTTGTGATTTTTGTTGAGGCATTTGCCATTTAAAAAATAGCTACCTATTCCATCCTTTAGGGAATGGCTTTATACAGGGAAAATTTGGCACTGTACAGCCACTCTTGACATTCTGAGCACTTACCCAAACTGTTGGCAGGATGTCTCTTCTCTGGAGTCTGTATATATTTCCCAGTTAAAAAGGTTTGCCTAATTCTTCTTAAGAGCCCTTAATATTTACCTTCCATGATAAATTCCATATGTCCTGCATTCTCTCTGTTGCTATAATAGTTACTCATCTTTGTTCTCAGTGGACTCAACATATTATTTAAATTATATCTCCATTTCTTTTCAGCACTACATATTAAGAGAAGCAATGAGCAGTCTTTGGAAAGCCCCAGAGAAACCCAGGATGGTGGATATAGAATTGGATTAAGTGCTCAGTCAAATATTTCTGAAGACCAGAGATTTAAAATTGAAGAGGATATTTCTAAATGTGATCAATTTGATGGGTCCTTTGTTAAAAGTTTAGTATTCTTCCACCAACAGATAATACCATTTTGTGCCAGAATCTACAACTGTGATTCGTATTGTAAGGATTCTACCCATTCATCATTGCTTAATCAATATCAGGGAATAGATATTTGGGAAAAACATTACATATCCAATAAAACTTTGATGTCCTTTATCCAGGATTCTTCCCTAAATAATTACCAAGATATTTATATTAATGATAGAAATTATCAATGCAATGAACCTGACAAAACCTTGAACCAAGACTCTTGCTCAAGAAAATACCAGAAATCTCAACATCCAGATGTCCAGAACAAATATAAAAAATGTGAGAAAGTGTTTAATCAAGCTTTAAAGCTTATTAGCAATGAGAATACCCACATTCAAGAGTATTCTGACAAATGTAATGAATGTGTAGAAGCTTTTACCCAGTCAGAGAAACAGTCTGAAAATCAGGAAGTTAATATTAGAGAAAACTCATACAGATGTAATAAACATGAGAAAGTTTTTAGTCAGTCATCCAATCTAAGAAAACATAACATAATCCACACAGAAGAAAACATTTGCACATGTAAAGAATGTGGCAAAACCTTTGACCAGAGTTCACAGTTTCAACAATATCAGAAAATTTATGCTGGAGAAAAACCTTACAAATGTAAAGGAGGTAGTAAAGTCTTTACTTGTTCCTCAGATCTTACTGTGTATCAAAAAATTCATAGTGGAGAGAAACGCTATAAATGTAAAGAGTGTAGCAAAGCCTTTAACCATAATTCAAGCCTTACTCAACATCAGAGAATTCATTCTGGAGAAAAACCCTACAAATGTAATGAATGTGGCAAAGCCTTTACTCAGCTGGGAAGCCTTAGACAACATCAGCGAATTCATACTGGATTGAAACCTTACCAGTGTGAAGAATGTGGCATATCCTTTACTCAATTGGGAAGCCTGACACAACATCAGCGAATTCATACTGGAGTGAAACCCTACAAGTGTGAAGAATGTGGCATATCCTTTACTAAGTTTTCAATACTTCGACAACATCAGAGAATTCATACTGGAGAGAAACCGTACAAATGTGAACAGTGTGGAAAAGCTTTTAACTGTAGTTCAAACCTTACTCAACATCAGAGAATTCATTCTGGAGAAAAACCCTACAAATGTAATGAATGTGGCATATCCTTTACTCAGTTGGGAAACCTTAGACAACATCAGCGAATTCATACTGGAGTGAAACCTTACCAATGTGAAAAATGTGGCATATCCTTTACTCAGTTGGGAAGCCTTAGACAACATCAGCAAATTCATACTGGAGTGAAACCCTACAAGTGTGAAGAATGTGGCATGTCCTTTACTCAGTTGGGAAGCCTGAGACAACATCA